AAAAAAAAAAAAAAAAAAAAAAAAAAAAAAAAAAAAAAAAAAAAAAAAAAAAAAAAAGAGAAAAAAAAAACACGAGACCGAGCGGAAAAATTGCGCGATCCGGAAATTTAATCCGGCCTCGTTAAACCCTCCTCTTTGGTAGAGCGTGCGGAGGCGTGAAAGGGGTGGCAAGAGATTGCGAGTGCAATTTCGTTGTAAATCTCGGAGGAAAGCCTCCGTGAACGACACGCTGACCCAGAAAGTCAAAGGGTTGGGATTCCGTCAAGATCGATTCGAATTTCGTGCACGGCCAACATCGACCTTTACGACCTGTCCTTTCCGAGTTTCCGCCAAAAGGGCTGCCGGACTGGCGCATCTCTTTCACGCGAAAATCGGTGAAATGAGCCTCGACACCCTAATAAATCTCTTACCGCACCACCTTTCCATCTTTCTCCAGCGTCCGCAGCCGAGCACGGTCCCCGGGGTCCACTCTCCTCTCCTCTCCTCTCTCTCTCCCCACCGGGGCACCGCATGAATTTCTGTCCAAATATTGGGGCCTGTCGGCCTTCGTAACTTAATAAATTACGTTACCTAGTTGTTGTGCGACACACTTTTTGTGTGCAAAAACTTTATTGTTTGGAAATGGAAATTCTTAAATATTTCTCCAATTGTTAACTGTTGTAACTGTTTTCTCGAATTTATGGAAATCGTATAAAATATTATATATATATACATATTTTCATAAGAATCAGAGATTTATTCAGAGAGACGTTGAAGAAAAAAGATTTTTCCATTGAGTTTTGACTTTTATGCCTAACCAAATATCGTGTTCTTGCGACCGAATAAAGTTAATCCGGAAAGGTTAATAAAGTTATTGAAAGTTAATTAGGATTATCCGTCCTTAACGAGGATCCCAAGAATTACACACCTTTTTTCCTTCGACCCCTTCGTCCCCTCGATCGTCCGGATTAACATTTCCTGGGGCTGGAAAGTTGAACGAGAAGAAAAATTACCATAATCCGTAATCATATTATCGGGAATCATTTTCAAAAATCTTTCTTCATTTCAAATCTTGCTCACTCAAAGTTTAAAGTTTAAAGAGAAAATCAAGTGGATCCAGAGAAACGTGAACAACGCTTTTTCATTTTTTCTTTTTCTTTTTCTTTTTCCCTCCCCCTCCTCGAGGAGCAACGCGGACGCGAAGAGGCAGAACTCGCGAGCGAAAGAAACGCGGAGAGGATCGCGTTGGTGGGGTAGTTGGAACACGTGCGCGTGAAAATTTACATCGTCACGTAAGCGTGGCGCGGCAGAAGCTGGCCAGCAAGGTAGTAGGCAGCAAGAAGTTCGGCAGACGAGGCGAGAAAGCGGAAGGAAGGGCACGGGGATGGGATGAGACGGAACCGAAACGCAGTGGCTAGAGGGAGAGAGAGAGAGAGAGAGAGACAAGGAAGGAAGAAGGGAGAGTAGAGAGCGAAAAGCACGAGGGGCCTGGCCGGAGAGAGAGAGAGAGAGAGAGAGAAAAGGAAGGGAGAAGGGAGAGTAGAGAGCGAAAAGCACGAGGGGCCTGGCCGGAGAGAGAGAGAGAGAGAGAGAGAAAAGGAAGGGAGAAGGGAGAGTAGAGAGCGAAAAGCACGAGGGGCCTGGCCGGAGAGAGAGAGAGAGAGAGAGAGAAAAGGAAGGGAGAAGGGAGAGTAGAGAGCGAAAAGCACGAGGGGCCTGGCCGGAGAGAGAGAGAGAGAGAGAGAGAAAAGGAAGGGAGAAGGGAGAGTAGAGAGCGAAAAGCACGAGGGGCCTGGCCGGAGAGAGAGAGAGAGAGAGAGAGACAGAGAGAGAGAGAACGAGTGAGAGAGAGAGAGAGGGATAGAGCGGAACGGTAAGGAAGCGCGGAGGTAGAAGCCACCCTTGGCCAAGAGAGGCACCAGGCTGGCAGCCCCTTTCGCAAGGCACCCCCTAAGCCTGGTTAGGGGCGACGGCGGCGAGCCGCGGAGGCCACAACACGACCGCCGTCCTCAGTGGTCGGCGCGCTTGGCCTGGGTGGGGCTCCGGAAAAATTGGCGGGGAGAAAAATCCCCTCTAAATAGCTGCGGCTGCGGCCGCGAAAAACTAGAATCCGCTCAGCCGGCATCGAGTGCGCGTCGGTTCAGCGTCCAAACTTTTCCCGTAGTGTCGTCGTCGTCATCGTCGTCGTTCGTCGTTCGCCGTTCGTCGTCGTCGATTTTTCGCATCCCCCGCGATCGGCCAGTGAAACGTTCTTCCCGATTTCCTTCGGAAAGGTGGATTTCATTTCGCATAGACAGATTTTTTATTTATTATTGGGCGCGAACCAATAATAAAAAGAGAAGGGACGACGAATAATTGTTCGTTTCCCCCGTGGTTGGGTAAAACTCATGGAGGATTGAGGTGTATTTGTAGTGCGTAGTTCGGGGATAGTGAATCGAACGATTGGACGCGGTGTATGTATATATATATATATATGTACATATACACATATATATATACACATATTTGGTGTTGATATCGAGGATTAATAACATCGTCAATTCCTCCCCTCCCCATCCCTCCCGTTTTTGGACGGTTGTTGCGCCACGACGAGTGTGAATATCGTGAAGTTCGAAAATGCATTTACCGGAGGGCCCACTTGGAATGGACATCAATGCTATGCACGAGACTCTACAGGCGTGTCACGGTGATTTAGTTAGAACTGGAAGTCCCGCTATCCTGTGTAGCGCCTTACCATCCCATTGGAGGTCGAACAAGTCGCTGCCGGTAGCGTTCAAGGTCGTTGCCCTGGACGACGTCAGCGACGGGACTCTGGTCACCATTAGAGCTGGAAACGACGAGAATTGTTGCGGGGAGTTGAGGAATTGTACAGCCGTGATGAAGAACCAAGTGGCCAAGTTCAACGATCTCAGATTCGTCGGGCGGAGCGGGAGAGGTCAGTGGATCACCATCCCTTTCCATTCCTATTTATTATCTATCCCCTATATTTATTATCTATCCCCTATGCCGTTCGTATCGCGCAACAATCTCTCTCCAATAATCTTTCACAAATCTTTCCATCGCAAGCGTGGTAATCGCGCGACTTTTTGCCTGATTACAGGGAAATCCTTCTCACTGACCATCCAAATCAGCACGGTACCCTTCCAAGTCGCCACCTACACGAAGGCGATCAAAGTCACCGTGGACGGGCCGAGAGAGCCACGATCCAAATCGAGTAAGTTCACTTATCCTTTCGATAACTTTCTCTCTTTTTTCTTTTCCTTTTCGTAAATATTATTCGTTCCTTCTCGAGTAGTCTCGATCTCGAATTATCCTTGGCGCGAAAAGAGACGAAAGAAAAAGAAAAGAAAGATTCGCGTTTTCCACGAGGATCGGGAGGGAGGAGGGTGAAAAATCGGGCGAAAAGTAGGGGCGAAAGGAGGATTCCGCGTGGGTAGCGGGTCCCAGCGTGGCCGACGTAGAACCCGCAAACGGGTGTCGGATCCTCGTAGGCGTTTAATAATCCGGTGGACCTCAAACCGCGGGCCGCGCGCGGTGGTCGCAGAAACTAGCACAGCCTCTACCGGTCGTTTGCACGTGCACGTGCATAAGGGTTGGTTGTGCGCGCGCGCACACGCAAACGCGGGTAAACGCGTGAAAATCATGCACACACATACACGTGCGTATACAGATATATAGGCGGGCGTGCGTTGGCATCGTTTCAAGCGACGAAGATCGCGGCTACGATCGTCGGCAAGCCTTTTTTTTCAACATCCACGCTTGTTTTCCCCGGCTTGAATCCAGATTGGGTCGGAGAACGGTGTTAACTAACTAACGCGCGTCGATGTGTGCGCGCGCGTGTTTATCACGGGCGGCGCTCGGTCGAGCAAAAGAGCAGAAGACGACGAAGCCGCGGGAGGTAACGCGGCAACGGCGACGCGGCACGTCGTCTGCAAAGGAGCCGCGTTTATGCGTTTGTTTATCGCGCCGCATATGGCGGTAGCATGTGGCTCGTAACGAGGCAGCGTTACGCGCCGATCCTGTAAACAGAGATCGGTAACTCGCCTCCGGAGAGCGTCGTTAATCCGCGTTTTACGGCCACCCGCCAGATCTCTCGCCATCTTCCACCTTTTTCTCTTTCTCTTCTCTTTCTCTTCTCTTTCTCTTCTCTTTCTTCCGCGCCCTCCCTTCCTCCATTCGCGAATTATTCGAATAGATTTTTACGGATCTTTTTCCTTTTTCCTTTCCTTTTCTTTCTTTTTCTCTATACGATTCGATTTGGAAGTGGAATCGGAATAGGAAAATTTCGTCAAGGTTGGCCTGACTGCTTTGGAAAACCTTGATCGTCGGTCGGATTATTTATAGAGCGGAAGGAATCCGACATTCCACGTGTCCCGAGAATTTCGAGTCTATTTCGAACGCCTCGATCGTGCTAAGGAATACGTTTCTCTTCGATTACTTTCAGATTATCAATACGGACATGGATTCCCTGGACTCGGATTGCTCAATCCTTGGGTGGACGTGGCGTATCTGGGACACGCATGGCACTTGCCCCATCCTGCCTTCGTCAAAGGTTAGCACGAAATTTTCCTCAATCCTAATATAATCCTACTATAATAATCCCATTACGTATATATTTCTACGTCGCGAAATTATCCATCCAACGAGACGATTTCATCGCATAAGATATCCGAAGAAAGACGTAACATAGGTGCAGAATCGGCACCTAATCGGTCCCATGATCCAAAGCCCCCTTCATCCTCGACCCGCTCGCAATCAATCAAA